CTGAGTCAGTTGTAAACTAATACAGAGGCATGTGTGTCTCCTAAGGAGGGTATACATTTCTTTTCCAGAAGCTTACCACCAGGAGGTGCAAATTGACTACTTAAGTAAATGATTTAGTGTCTGAGAGTTGGCAGCGTTTATGGTCGGCACTTTTTGGCGTAATTTTGTTGGAAAATAAAAATATTAACATTTTCATGATCTGTCGATTAATGGCAACACTGATCGTTTTGCTGTGAGCTCCCTCTATTCTTTTTTTCTTCCTACCTTTTTGAAGGGTGAAGACCAGCCAGTATGTGAGTATTGCAACTGCTTTCTAAGTGTAAAACACATACTTTGCCACTGCATTGCTCTCAATCAAAGTCGTAGACAGCATTTCGGAAATGCAAGTTTGAGAGAGATTTTGGGCCAGAGGCCAAATCTGGATAACATAGTGGACTTTCTGAAAGTCAATAATATGTATAGAGATATTTGATTACTTGTTTATTTATTTACTTACTTTAGAGTTTTATTTACCTTGTTTTTGCTTAGTTATCTTGTTGATTTTTATTTATTTATCTAATAATGTCATTATTAGTTCGTTATGTTCGTTAGTGTAATGTTTAAAATTTTTACCATTTGCCCTGGCACAGCTTAGCCTACACGGCTCTTGTGCCAAAAAACTAAAACAAACCAACCAACCAACCAACCAACCAAACCTTCCCGCCTTTTTTGTTTTTCTTCAGATGTGTGAAGTCGTAGTGTTCCTTCTTTTGCTTAAAATAAAAGTTTTTGTTAGCTATAAGAGTGTCTGTTGTAGTTTCAATCATCAAGTTTCAACAGGTTATGGGCCCAGATCGCTTTAACTGTGCAATGGAACTTTCTAGACTTCACATTGGATATTTAGAAGGCAAGTCTAACTGGTCGACTTGGAAATATAAAATTTGCATTGTGTTAAGGAGTATTCCTGGTGCATTGGTTGTTGTTGAAGGAAAAATTTCGAAACCGGAAGAAATAGATTCCGATGCTTCAAAGGAAGAAAGAACAAGGTATGAAAAAGAACTATTAAATTTTACTAATTACGATAGTAGTGCCTTGTTAGTTTTAACTTGCAATTTGTCTGAAGAAACCTTAAAGAAAGTCATGTGGTTTACGACAGCACGAGACGTTTGGTTAGAATTACATAGATTATTTGAAGGTGTCTGTGAGGACAAGGATTACGATCTTTGTATGAAATTTTTTGGTTATAAACGTCAAGTTGGAGATGATATGGCCAGCCATTTATCAAAACTGAAAAAGATTTGGAATGATTTGAATGTAGAATTGACAAAGGATGAAGGAATGGAAAAGTTGCCAGATTTATTGTTAATTTGTAAAGTCTTAGATACTTTACCTGANAGATGTCACTTTTCAAGAAGAATCCTTGATAGTTAAAAATGATAACTTGAATAAACCTCATCCACAAATAATCATGAAGTCTGATAGCTTAAAAGAAGATGATAGTTATCTGAATGCTGAAAAAGAAGATTTGAGTTTTCAGAATGAAGTTCAGAGCAAAGAGGCAACACAACAAATGACTCTACGGGATAGTTCAGAGCTTATGCGTCCCAGACGATTTGATGACTATGTTATGTCAGCGATCTCAAATGCCTTTGAAGATCCAAGTACTTATACAGAGGCAATTACTTGTGAGAACCGAGAGAAATGGTTAAGTGCTATGAATTGTGAAATAAAATCCTTAAAAGAAAATGAGACATGGATCCTTCAAGAGTTACCAGATGGAAGAAAAGCAATTCCATGCAAATGTGTATTTAAAACAAAGACCAATCCAGATGGTTCGATAGACAAGTTTAAGGCAAGACTGGTAGCGAAGGGATTCTCTCAAAGAAAAGGAAAGGATTTTGATCAAACATTCGGCCCTGTTGCTAAGTTAGGAACAATTAGAGCACTTTTAAGTGTTGCAGCAAATGAAAATATGTCTCTAACACAATTGATGTCTCAACAGCTTTCCTATATGGTACAATAAACGAGGACATTTACATTGAACAGCCAGAGGGGTTTTGTGATAGTTCAAATAGAGTCTGTAAGTTAAAACGAAGTCTTTATGGACTTAAACAAGCTTCTCGATGTTGGAATAAGAGATTTGGAGACTATCTTTTGAAATTGGGCTTCCAAAGGAGTAATGCAGATCCTTGCCTGTTCATAAGAAAAAGGGGTCCAAATAAACTTTTGCTAACCTTGTACATAGATGATGGTTTGGTGGCGGCAACAGATCCAGCGGGATGGACGGGCTGTTTCACAGCTTTCTCTGCCTCGATATTTTAGAAATATTGGGAAGTGGTCACTAGAGAGTGGATTAGATCCATCCTCCCATGTAAATGCTGAAAACAGGTTTGGACTGGCTAATGATAGATCAATGGCAGTGAATGTTCTTGTTGGGGCATGAAAGTATGTCACTTCTCCTGTATTAAATAAATATAGTTGCTGGTTGCCTATTAATCTTTCAATAGCCCTGCCCTGATGATTAATGTCGGGACTGTCCCACATTGGATTGTGACCATTGAAATCACCGAGTAACAGGAACAGAGTTGGCAGTTGTTCAACTAATGCGTCCAAATCATCCTCATTGGCTCTGACGTCTGGTGGCAAGTATATAGAACAAACTGCGACAGTTACGCCAATTGAAATTTTGACTGCCACAGCTTGTAGATCAGTGGTTATTTGTATCGGTAAGGAAGGAATGGGATGTGGTTTGAGACCAGTATAGCCACACCGCCACTGGCACGGTTGTGGCTATCATCATCCTTGCGGTAGAGATCAAATCCTTTTAAAGAAATATTTTCTCCAGGTTTTAGATGTGTTTCCTGGAGTGCCACACAGAGAAATGAGGTAGATGATGTCAAGGGTTTAATGTCAGAGAAATTGTTGCGAAAACCACGACAGTTCCATTGGATTATTTTATAATCCATTATGTGTTTGAGGCAGCATTCTTAGAAAAAGTGTCCTTCTTCAATTTTACTGCGGATTTTCCTTTTGAAGGTGAGGTTGAATGTGTCACCTCCATATTATTCTCTTCGTCAGAGATATCAGAGAACTCACTCATGGATTGAGTCTCTGATCTCTCTGATTTAGAGAGGGCTGCTTTCAATTTTTGTTTGTTGAGTGGGTTCTTATTGGCCTGTTTAAAACCCACATTTCTAGTAATCACTCCTGTTTTGGGTAGGAGTGATTTTATCTTTCGATTCTGCTTTTCTTCTGTCTCTTTGGATTGAATTAGTAAGCATTTAGCATGGCATGTGAGAGATTCATTTGGTGAAACAGAAATGTCTGTCTGAACTCCACTTGTCTTTGTGGATTTCAGAACAGCAGCAAATGTCTTCTGTTTCACTGGTGCACTTAAAAGTGACCATGCGACGTGCCTTCAAGTAAAATATATTATTAATGGCCTTCAATCGCTGAATTTCTTTCTATCTCTCCTGATTAGTCTCTTCATCAGAGATATCAGAAAACTCACTCATAGAGTGGGCTTCTGATTTTTTACATTTAGAGAAAGCCACTTTCACTCTCTGCTTGTTTAGTGGGTTCTTACTAGCCCTTTTTGAACTAAGGTTACATTGTTATAACCCCTGTTTTAAGTAGGGGTGTTTTTGGTTTTATACTCTGCTTTTCTGGTGTTTCTTTTGATGGAATCAATAAACATTTCGTGTGCCGAGTGAGAGATTCCTTTGGGGAAACAGAAATGTCGATTTGAACTCCACATATCTTTGTGGATTTCAAAGCAGCAGCAAATGTCTTTTGTTTTAGTGGTGCACTTGAATTGACCATATGACGGGCCTCTGGGTAGGGTTAGTTGTTTACTGTTTTTACACGCTGAATTTCTTTTTCTGTCTGCCATGCAGGGCATTTGCGGGAGTAGGCGGGATGTGCGTCTTTGCAATTCACACTGCATGGAGTAGTGGTACACTCAGTACTCTAGTGACCTTCAACTCCACACTGTGCGCATATGTGACCTCGACAAGATGTTTGAGTGCAAATTGCTGGCATTTAAAACAACGCAGCGGATTTGGGATGTATAGACAAACTGGACAGCGCAGGTATCCTGCAGTAATGGAAGATGGTAATATCGGCTTGTTAAATGTGAGGATAAGATGTTTGGTTGGGATCAACTTCCCATCTCGACAAATGGAGATACGTGGAACGGCAGTCACACCTTTGTCTGACAGGCCAATCTGAATATCTGTTTCTTCTTTAAACATCAGATCAACCTCCAATATCACACCATGAGATGAGTTTAAGCTTCTGTGTGGTGTGACAGTCACTTGCATGTCTTCCAGTGTCCTTGTTGTCAGGAGTTTTGTCGACTGTTGAGGAGAGGCTGTTTCTATGAGTAAATACCCTGATCTCAATTTTTGAATTTTCTTGAGATGTCGTATGGTCGATTCAAATAATTTCTGAATCAGAAAGGGAGAGCATTTAGACAGAGGTTTCTCTCCAGTACTATGAACTGAGATATGCTGGCTTGTTGGAAGGGCTAACGTCCTTTGATAATGATTTATCTGTATTTGGTCGGTTTTGTTTTAAAGAATCCATATTCAGAAAAAAATTTTCAGTTCCTAGTGACCCCAGCCACCACGGGGCCCAACAATGGGATGCCGTCACATGGGAGTTTCCCATAGACCGTCACACCAGGGTTTCCCAGGAGCTATACCCTCACAATGCAGTCAAGAAGAGCACATCTGGACTGACGTGTCTGCCTGGTCTGCATCGATCGGATGACTTCAGGCCGAGGTCAAAAATGACTCAACGATCAGCCGATTGACTCAAATGGAGCCTGATTTGAGCCTCCCATTTATCCGAAGCAGGGGCCAAAGCAGTGTGTTGGGGACATTATGTTGCCCCTCAACTACCAGGATCCCTCTTTCCGGCATACGGGACACCACGCATGGCAAACACGTGGGTGGGCGTTCAGATCCCAGGGATGGTAAAGACGACTTTCTAAACCATCTCTGGGAGGTCTCCTCACGACGGACAGGAACCCACATCGAGGGGGTTCAACTCAAAGAGTTTCTGAATTAAAAAAGGAGAATGTTTAGACAGAGGTGTTTCTCCCATAGCGTGAACAATAAGGTAGGTTGGTTGATTGGAGGAACTGATATCATTTGGTGGGAATACATTAGTAGATGTTTTAGATTTTACAGAATCCATATTTAAAAATAACTATTGAAGTCCTAGTGACCCCACCCATTATGGGGTCAAACAAGAGGATGCCGTCACATGAAGCATTTCCATGGACCCTTACACCATGGTCTCCCAGGAGCTATACCCTCACAATGCAGTCAACTAGAGCACATCTTGTCTGACGTGTCCGCCCAGTCTGCATCAATCGGTTGACTCCAGGCCAAGGTCAAGAATGATTCAACGACCAGCCGATTGACTCAAATGGAGCCTGATTTGAGCCTCCCGCTTATCCGAAGCAGAGGCCAAAGCAGTGTGTTGGGGACGTTATGTTGCCCCTCACCTACCAGGATCCCCTTTCCAGCATATGGGATACCACGCACGGCAAACACGTGGGTGGGCGTTCAGATCTCAGGGATGGTAAAGAAGAGTTACTAAACCATCTCTGGGAGGCCCCTACACCATGGACAGGAACCCACATTGAGGGGCAGTGACTTCTGGAATCGAAGCAATAGATAAAAACATATTATCACATTTGGAATCAAAGATTGGCAAATTTAAATTCTGCTCAATTACTATGGATGAAAGCTCTGAAACAAATGATACTGCACAGTTGCTATTATTTATAAGAGGTGTTGACAAAAACTTCTGTATTACAGATGAACTAGCATGCATGAGGTCATTGAAGGGAACTACAACAGGGTCAGATATTTTTCACAAATTTATGGAAGGAATTTCAACTTTGAAAGTACTGATAAATTGCATATGTAGTATAACAACAGATGAAGCAAGAAATATGACAGGGAAAAAATCTGGATTTGTTGAGATCTTTAATGAAAAATATCCAGATAACAATGTTATATTTCTACATTGCATCATACATCAAGACGCCCTGTGTAAATCTGCTTTGGATATGAAGCTTGTGTTTGACGTTATTGTGAAGCTGGTTAATGCTATTCGATCTCAAGGGCTTGTTCACAGACAATTTCCGGAGTTTCTAGAATCCATGCAATCTGAGTACTCTGATATATTGTACTACTCGAAAGTAAGGTGGCTTAGCACAAGACGTGTCTTCAAGAGAGTTTGGCAGCTGAAAGATGAAATAGTGACATTCTTCCTTGAGAAACAGTGGTCTGTACAGCATAAAATCCTGGAAGATACTGCATGGCTTTCAGATTTTACATTTTTTATGGATTTTCTCTGCCACATGATCAAGTTGAATGTCAAGATGCAAGGCAAAAATCAATTTATCGATGATATCTGGAGCCATCTCAAAGGTTTTAAACTACAACTTGTTCTATTTGTGAATAAGCTTGCTAAGAATGACTTGTCTTACTTTCCAAGGTTAAATTCCATAGCCCCGGTGATGAAGGAAAAGCTTAAGAGTTACGAAGATAGTCTGAGAAGACTCCATGGTGAATTTGAACAAAGATTTGAAGACTTCAGTGTCATTGAAAGAAATTATCAGTATGCCTTTTAATGTGAACTGTGAAACAGTGAAACCGGACTTGCAACTTGAATTACAATGTAACACTCAACTCAAACAGTTGTTTTTTTATGTTCCAAAATTAGAGTTCTACAAGTCCTTGTCGAAATCCACTTTCCCAAATCTGATATCTCATGCCCAGAAAGTTACTGCTATGTTTGCTTCATCATATATATGTGAACAGGTGTTTTCTACAGTGAAACTTCGAAAGAGTTGCCTTAGAAACAGACTAACAGATGAACATTTAACTTCTCTTCTAAAAATAAGTGCATCCCAGTTCAAACCAAATTATGAGAAACTTTTAAAAATGTAGTCACAGTTTCATTCATCACATTCTCATTCATATTCTTTCAGTCATTAATAGGGCTTAGTATCACAAAAAATACAACAAGTTTGTATAATGTAACATTGTTATTTTTTAATAAATTATATTGGCCGCCTAAAGTTTTCTTCCTTTCCTTTGGCCCCCTCTTTAAAAAGTTTGCCCATTACTGGTATAGACTACAGAAAAGCATTCGACAGTGTTCCACACAGTTGGCTGTACATATTCTACACATATACAAAATACATCCATCACTCATTGCATTCTTCTAAAACACTACACAGTATTGGAAAACGACACTACATCTCAAGATTACTAACACTTCCATACAAACAAGCCAAAAATTTATTAAGCGAGGAATTTTTCAAGGATATTCCTTGAGTTTTCTCTGGTTCTGCCTAGCCATGAACCTATTATTCAACATGTTAAACAACACGCAATATGGCTACAATAGACATGAAAAAACAACACAGTTTACACTGTCAGATCTCATGTACATGGACGATATAAAACTTTATGCATCCACACAAAAACAACTTCATCAACTCCTACAAGTCATGCATTCATACACCAAGGACATACAAATGGAGTTTGGCCTATGCAAATGCAAAAGACTTCACATAGAAAAAGGAATTTCGAAAAAAAAGATTTTGCATTTGGAAATGGGGATAATATTGAATCCATGAAAAACAGCAAGTTTTACAAGTATTTAGGATTCCAACAGGCACTAACAGAACATACACAAATAAAGCAAAGATTAATTAAATAATACCAAATTAAGTTAAGTTTCTTCTCAACATGACTTTTTTCCTTCATTACTTGAATTCCTGAACATAATTTTTATTCGTGTTTGGGATGTTTTATTAAATACTTTTATGAAAAAATGGACAAAAAGTAAAGAAAATGTGTTACAGTCCCGATTTTTAACAATTTGTCAGTATTTCTCGACATTAAAAGTGTCATTTTTGACATTTAGTGAGTAGTGTAATGCAAGAAAGTTGGCATGGTCGTCAATGCTGCAGGTGACTTTTATACTTGACTTTCGTAGTATTGTTGGAGTGTTCCTGTGCTATTTAGGTGCAAATCATGAATTATCTGATGATTCAAGTTAAACGAATAGATTATGCTTAAGGCTGATTAGATGACTATTAATAATTGCAGAGATAGAGCCTAATCCAGGCCCCTTATCGACAGCCCCTCTGGATATGAAGTGAAGATATGAAAAAATAGGGATACGGAAGACAGCGTAAAGGTAATGCTAGAAATATTGAAAGGGATAATTTGTTAGAATTTGTTCAGGATGAACAAGGCCAAATTGAAGAGTCTTCTTCGAAAGGAAAAATAGGAATGATAAAATAATCCTGGATATTAGAGTCTCTTACATTATCATCAGTAGCAAAAGAACATGGTATCCGAGAGTCCCAGTATACCATCAAAGCAGTTTATGATTTGATCCAGGAAAAGTTTTCACTACTGAATTCTGATTTGCATTCAATTAAGGAAGAATTAGTTTCATTGAAGAATGAACATAATAATCTAAAGAACGATTTAGTGTGTCTCGTAGGATACAGAATCAGGTCGTCAGTAATTGCAAGTCACTGAGAGGTATGTTAGAATTTCAAATTGACAAGTTAATAACCGAGAAAACCAGAAACAATATTGTAATTTTTAACTTTCTGTTTGTGTCAGATCTTTCTAGTGAGATTTCCTATTTTGTTGTAATTGATTTAGGTCTAGAGCACAAGTCTTTGACCTGGGTTCCGCGGAACGTTGACAGGGGTTCCGCAAGTGATCACTATTTGCTCAGCCAAAACACACATAAAATGGAAATCATCTATACAAAGAATTTTTCATGTAGGAATGGGGTAGGGGACTGTCTAAAATATTAGATTAACCTATTCCCTGCGAACTATCTATAGAAAAAAATTGAATGGAATTCGTCATGCGGCGCATTTTTTGAATTTTTTGATAATTTTTTAAATCGAGATATTTCGCTTCAAAATCGCGCTATATTTAATCTGTTTTTTGTGTTTGATTAACAACATATTGCAGTTTACGATTGTTTAATTTTTAGTTTAATACAAATTTAAAATAATATTAAAATTTTGAAGTTCACGAGCAATAGAAAAAAAAATTAATTTACAGAGATTCGCTGAACTTTGTACATCTGTTCGTTAGACACATCTGTCTTCTTTTAAACAAAACAAACCGCAGCTCTCTAGCTAGAGCGGGGGAGAAGTTATTGCCATTATTTACACTACGTCTCTAATTACCCTGCGGGGAGAGGGGAGTGGGGAGTGGCTCGGGTATTTGTAGGTCAAAGATTATCAACATACTTTTATAAGAGTGAATATTTGACACTTTTTACATATTTTTTCAACGTTTTATATAATAATAACCTATAATAAATGATTAGTTAATTTTTTCCTGCGATTACGCAATATCCGGAAGTAATGAGTTTCCCGGAAAATTTTTCAGCTGGAAGATTTTGATAAAATATCTTCTTGTCTAAATAGAGTCAAATAACATGAAAACTAGAAAAATNCATTGAATCCACATGACCGAGTGATGATCCAAATTGATAAAAGAAACTGGGAGCCTGGTGAAATAATAGAAATAGACAGATATCGACCAAGATCTTATATTGTGCGCATAGACAAAGACAGTAAATACTTCATTCGTAACCGAAGATTTTTAAGGAAGTTCGATGTGAATAGATTTAGAAACATACAGAATCATTCAGGCGAATTGTTGGATCAACCAAGTGAGGAAGAACAGGCCAGTGAACAAGGAGAAAACATGGATAGTGGTAGTGAGGAAAAGGACACAGAGAATGAGCAGTTGGAAAATCAGGAGGTGAGCGGCAATGAGGCTACAGACTTGACAACTCGATCAGGCCGGGTGATCCGTAGGCCATCGCGTTTCAAAGACTTTGTGTAAGAAAGGGAGATGTAATATGTATTGTATTAAAATGTAAAATATTAGTGAGTCCGCCAGGTGGCGATCGTTGTGATGCATCACGGGAACGGCACCTGAGCACTCACTTTGGTTGGAACCTTTTCACAATAAACATAACACGAAATACGTGATGAACCCTCTACAACTTCAGATACGTGGTCCTTTACTCCTACAGCTTCTCGAGAACAGTTTCGTTTCACTGGAGTTCCGGGAGTAAATATTTCGATAACAGATCCCGACGATGTGATTGGAATTTTCGAGCAGCTGTCCAACGACAGGATAGTCGAACTTATAGCGGAGGAAACAAATAAGTACACCGAAAAAAAATAAAAGAAGCGACAGATAGTCCTCTCGGCCTAGGAAAGAAGAGCCGGATGCGGAGTTGGAAGCCGACAAATCCAGGTGAAATTAGATTGTTAGAGGGGATGCTACTCCTGATGGGGATTGTCAATAAGCCGACTCTACAGTCTTACTTCTCTACGAATTTTCTAATCAAAACCCCCATATTTAATGAAATAATGGTAAGAGAGAGATTTTTATTGTTATTGTCATTTTTACGAGCAACGAAAACAAAACCTCTAAACTATACAAAATAGAACAATTGCTGGATCTGTTTAGATGTAGTTTCCGGTCTGCTTACACTCCATTGCGAAATATTTCGATAGATGAGAGTCTCCTTCTCTGGAAGGGTCGATTATCTTTGAGAATATATATTCCGATGAAACGTGCAAAATTCGGTATTGAAACTTTTTTAGTATGTGAAGCTAATACTGGGTATGTATATAATTTTATTATTTATACGGGGAAGGGGACCGAAATATCAATAAATTTAGACGATGTCGACCCTTCCAGAGAAAGTCACTTGACAAATATCGTGCTTTCGTTGATGGAGGAATTCCTAGACCAAGGGTATTGTCTAGGAATAGATAATTACTATACCAGTCCGTTTCTCTTAGATTATCTCGCGTCCCATCATACGGATGTAAATGGGATGGTAAAAACAAATCGCAAAGATCTTCCAAAACAAGTAACATCCACAAAATTTAAAAGGGGGGAGACAATAGCTATGTACAGAAACAAAACAATGATAATGAAATGGAAGGACACCAAAGACGTATATATAATGAGCACCACACATGACGAAAGAATGCTGACAATCAAATCGGGTTCATCTACCAAACAGAAACCTAAGGTCTGCGTCGACTACAAACATCATATGGGGGGCGTAGACCTTATGGACCAAAAGTTATCATATTATAATGTGGCCAGGACACACATAAAAAAATACTACATAAAAATATATCTAAGATTTTTAGATATTTCTGTTTTAAATTCTCATGTTATTCACAAAGAACTGGGGGGGAGACTATCTTTGTATGAGTTTAGATTAAAACTTATCCAGCAATTGTTCGACAAGTACAGAGAGAGTACTCAGGGGGTCAGAAAAAAATCTATTATTCCAACTTCGGCTTCCATTGACCGTCTCAGTGGTCGGCATGGCCACTTTCTTGATTTCTATGAACTGAACAAGGCTGGCAATAAAAAACGCAGGGCTTGCGTTGTTTGCAGCGCAAGGCAAAAAAGAACGGACGTTTCATTTTATTGCAAACAATGTAATGTCGCCCTTTGCCCTACAAAATGTTTTGAAGATTATCACACAAGAGAAAATTTCGTGTAGGGCACTTGTATATATATTTTTTATTTCTGTTATTATTGTATATTATCATCATGTTTCTATTATCTTGTGTATAACTTTTATTTTTCTTATTGTATGTATTTATCTTGTATATAATTTTTCTAATCATATTTTGAATTTTTTATTATTTTTGTCAATAAATTAAAACATCAAATTACTGTTTTGTTTTTCTTTTTTTAAAAATAAGTAAACATGAATTACAAACTAATAAAACATCTCCATTGTCATCTGTTAATCAAATTTCTGTAAGCACCTGGAGAATAAATTCAGAGGAATAAAAAGCTGTGATTTGTTTACTCTAAAAAATAGTAGTAGTCAATCAAAGTAAAAATAAGTCAATTACAACTTTATAAGGCATTTATAAAAATCATCTTAGAACCAATTGTGCTTATAAAGTATCTTCTATAAAGTAACAACAGGAAGTATTGAGTTTTGCAGGGGGTGTGGGTTTTCAGTGAGTAATGGTCAAGACAAGTTCTTTTCTAAACAATGCATAGTAAACATTATTTCTATATTATTTTGATGATTATTGCAGTAATCGACTATACAACGCAAATTTGCAAGCAATTGCTTACGTATTTTCTCTTATTACGTAACGGCGAAAATTTGACTTTGCCCTCACGTATACATAAACAGTTCTGAGTAAAGTTTCTGTTTACAATGTACTCTGTCTCCCTATCTGACTAACTGCGGGGAGTGGTAAGTGGCTGGGGTATTTTTAGGTCATGACCTAAAAATACCCGAGCCACTCTCCACTCCTTGCAGTTAGTCAGA